TTTTTTTTTTTTTTTTTTTGAAAACAGAAGCTGACATCCTACATCAAAATTTGGTCTCTCAAGTGTGGAATTTAAGTGACTCAAGAATCATGCACATTAAACCCTGACAGGATGCATAGCCTGGCTGGAATATTTCAGATTTCTTGACCTGAAGGTCAATGCATCAGGAGGAGACTACAGCTGTGAATACAGCATGTGCTATTTGCTTATCAATTTTACATTCAATGCTTTTCCACTTAAAAGGCAATAGTGGCACCCTGAACTCACCCTTTTTCACCACAAATAATCATTTTAGGTGTGAAACTTCTTAGAATTTCTTATTTTACCTAGATACTTTCTGCTAACAGCTGGCAAATTAGTTGAAAGAAACAAGCACTTTGGAAGTTTAAAACTATAAAACAGGTAACAGAAAAGAGACAGATACATGTATATACAGATCTTTTCTGACTAAACCATAACTTTTGAAATAGTTTCTGAAATCTTCATTTTTATCTACCCTACAGTCCTATCCCTTATGTACCTGATGTGCCTGGTAAACAGTTGCATTGGTAACCATTCACCAAGTCAATGCAGCGTCCTTGATTAAGGCAGGGATTGCTGTAACATTCATCAATCTGTTCACTACAAATGGCACCCATGTATCCAGGATTGCAGACACATGTGTATGAATCAATACCATCTTGGCATTCACCATAGTGGCAAGGGTCAGGATCACAATTATTTATATTTTCCTCACACAAGATGCCAGTAAAACCTAAAAGGAAACAAATCAACAGGAGACATTTAGAGGCTAACAGATGTTATGATGGAATCTGCATTGAGAATCAAACAAAAATATGGCGTTCATCATAACAGGAACACTCCCCCCCAGTAAAACTGTACATGGAACAGAAAACACTGGCTGGGTATATAATCTCTCCCCTAAACATGGACACCAGCAGACAAAGCCACAGCATGCACAGCACAGAATACTACAGAAGATGATGGATGGAAAATCTTTCCAGAGAGAACTACCTGAAATGCATTCATTTCAGACAAACCAGAGGAAAATGTACCCCTGACCATCAAACCTTTTTATTCACACCTGTATCGAAATAACTGAAGGCACTATCTTTCCTTCAGATACTCCGTGTTTAAGTGTTCTGATAAGTCAAACCAGCATGAGTTGACACCTGGATACAAGTTGAAAACTGCAGACAAAGACACTGAACAACTATTGCTGTACAAAATCCACCAGGGAGAATAAAATAGCCCTGTAAACCCTTTCCTTGGATAACTGCCCTAAAAAAACCCAAAATAAACACTGCACTGAAAAAAAAATTATGACTATTTATCTTGCATGCACAAAATTAAAACAAAGGTAAGACAAAGTTCAAGGCTGAAAGGGATACCATCATGGGTCTACCCCATATGTAAGTAGCTTTTATGGTTCTTTTGGTGGAAAAAGACAGTAGATTTTGGAATTTCTACACCCAGTAGACTTTACTATTTTTATTATAATAAATTAATACACAGGCCTTACAAAGTGAGACTTTCTGCAGAATTTAAAGGTTTAGGTCAAAAAAGCGTTCTGTTTTTGCAGCTGAAAAAGCCTTTTGAATGTTCCAAAGCTCAATCAATTGTAAAACGACAGAATGCTCTCTTGCCAAAGGCTGCAGGCAGGTGACTCCCATGTCTCTGCAGATATTCAGAGTTGTCCAAGCTGAAGCAGAATGAAGGCTCAACAGAGCCTCCCGGGTGGGCAGCACAGAAACCAAGAAGAATCTGACCAGTTTCACGCTAAATTCTGAACATGAGAAGCAACAGCAGATGCTATTCACAGAAAGGACTAAACAGAAGATTGGGAAAGGAATAAGAAAAGCAGAGGATTCCTGAAATAGCCACTGGAATGGGGGCAAAGTAGAGGATGGTGAAAGTAGGAAAATCTTTCAGTCAAGTGGTTCCGTGGTGGGAGCCCCAGGGAATGAAAAATGCTCCCTCCGCCTTCTAGTAATGAAATGGGAAGGAGGGGCTACAAGCTTCAAAGATTGAATGCCAACACAAACTGAGCCCATCAGTAAGGTTTAGGGACAGCATCCTAGCAGAAATCCTAGTGGGCAACTGGGATTTGTAAATGGGCAACCGCCTCCCCTTTTTAAATACTGATTTGTGGCTAGTTCACTATTATTTCCAAGCTCTGTGAATGTGCACATGAAAGGATAGATACGAAAACTGAAGTAGGAGAGGCAGGGCAAGTTAGAAAAGTCATATATAAAATTATATTTAGAAGAAAAGAAAGAAAGGCAGATATCACATTGTGCAGGAAAGAAATGTGTACAGGCCTAGAGAGGGAGAGAAGGGACATGAGCTATGAATGGAGAAAGAGAAGTCAAGTAATGTCAGGAATTGAAAGAAAAGGCAAAAAGCAGGAGAACTGCATGTGGTCCAGTAGTTTGTACCTTTCATCTAGCTTCATAGCAGTCAGTTCCCTTTTAATAAATATACTATATAACTCAAATACAAGATGAAGTTCACCCCCCATCAATCAGCATGGAGAAAAAAGCCCCTCATCTTGTATTCACATACAGGGAAACCTTATTAAATACATTGTCTATCATTAAACTGCTGCCTAAAGTAGCATGTGCTCAGTAATGGAAACCGACTGCCTACACTAAGCATGACTACAAAACACATAGCCCATATTCTGCAAACATACTGACAGGAGTTGTTTTTTTTTTTGTTTTGGTAGCACAAGGCCTGGAAGCCACAGAGTTCAGATGCCCCCTAGTCTTGCTTGCTCCTAGCCAAAAGGCCAAGGAGCAGCTAGGGGGAAAATGCAAAACCAGCCCCCATTACCACAATTTTTTTTTTAATTATTTTTTTAAAGGGAAAATTTTTCATGTTCCAAGTCAAATCAGCCAAATCAATTCCAAATCCATGAGTTAGCCAAGAACCATATGTGACCCTACTACCAGCGAGCATCCTCCACCCCCGCCTGGGGCTTCAGATGCTTCCAAATCCTTTGGCAGGCATTCAATGTGCAATCCCATGCCTGGAGGCAATGGGGTTTGGATGCCCCTGAGTTTTGCTTGCCCTCAGCTGTATGGCTGTCAGAGCAAGCTAGGGAGGAGTCTGCCATTTCCATAAAGTTGGCATATGATTTACCATATAGTTAGGGACCTACCAAATGCAAAGCAGGAGTGGGGTGTGCTGTGACTCCTTTAATCTTGCAGGTTCCCCTGTGCACCACCCCCCACCACGGATAGGCAGAGAGGCCCCACTGCTCACCGCTTGCTCCCGACTGGCAGGGATGCAAAAATCGCAGTTTTAAATATGGCATCATTTTTGCTACTCTCTGCTGACTGGCCAAGGGACCCTAGCAGCCACACTGTTACTAGCTGACCAGGAGGCAAAAATAGCACCATATTTAAAATAGTGGTTTTCACCTCCCCACTAATCAGGAGTGATTAGCAAGGGGAGGAGGGGCACATGGGGGAACCTACAAAATAAAAGGAGCTGCTGTGCCCCCCCCGACTGCTCACGCCTGATCAGTAGGGAAGTGAAAGCCACGGTTTTAAATATGGCAGGCGTGCAGCTCATGCAGGCAGGCAGGCTCAGGGTGGGGAGGGGGTGAGGGGAGAAATGAGGTTTGCCATTTCTCCCCACCCACTTTGGTGGAGCCTGCCTTCCTGGGCTGCTGCCAGGCTGCCTGCGGTGCTTCGCTCCATGGCTGTAGGGCAGCAAACTAAAACTCCTTGGAGGTGTTTTAGTTTGCTGCTCCCCAAAGTCATTTAAGGCGCATTACACTGCCGAATGTGCTAGAACGGCTGAAATTAGTGTCCAATACGCTGCCAACACATGCAAACACCAACACCATTAAAGTGGTGCAAAAGCATTTAACCCGCTTTAAAGTGTCATTCACATATGCCCCTCGTTTCGTCTACACATGTTCTAAAAGTGTGTTTATGGAGTACCTGTGCTAAAATTTGAAGCAGTTTCAAAAAAGGTAAAATGCATCAATTCTGGATAAACTAAGCCTATGGGTACCTGTAGTAATTTGCCTAAATGCAAATTACTATAAAATATATATTATTTCTAGGTCAGATTTTTCAAATTTTCCCCTCACTTCCATGTACCCAGGGAGAGTATGGTCTGACAGTAAGGAGGTGAGAAGCGTCTGGAGGGGGAAGTTAGGAGTGGGAGCAGAGGGAAAGGGGCTACCTGACTCCCCAGATTTATTTTCCTTACTGTAGCAAAGGGAAGGGGACAAATGCAAGGCAAGCCTCCAATAATTAGGTTCTATACCTGGAAAACTTAACTAATTTATACATTTTCCATACACAAGCTAATTATTGGGGGGCTGTCTTATATTCAAGTAAATACAGTATTATTTAACCAATATTGAAGAGAACAACACACCGAATATATTCAGCCAATGCTTTCTTGTGTCTGACCCATTTTAATAATGAGTTAACAATTTATTACTTAGAATGCCAACCAGCAATATAACAATTCAGTCTAGCAACACAATAGATTTCTCTCATTCAATGACAGAAAACAAGACAAGCAAATATTTTAACCTTGGTTTAAAAGGCAAGATTCATTAATGCATTGTTAAGATGTAGATGTCCCACACCAGAGATATTTAGAGCTAGCAGTTCTAAGACATCACCATGTCACCTTTATGTACATTTGGTTGCCTTCAAACCTATTTCCATGCCCCCAAACTCCCTATGGGGGAGTCTGGGGGCAAACCACGCGCTAATTCAGCAGTTGGATTTAGCTCTGTCTTTTCCTGGCACTCCTTTTAGTAATGCACCATTGTCCATTGTTGCTTCTTTGCTTATCACCACTGGAGTGAGGTGACCCTATATTATTGGCACCGGATTCTTCATGCTTCCAGCAGATTTTGCAAAGGATTCAGAAACAAAAGTTCCCCCTCTTCACTAAGCAAAAATTTCTTGGACCACACACCAGGTTGAGGCAGACATACTGCTTCCAAGTTAAAAAAAAAAAACAACAAAAAAAACCTAGGCTTTTCCTTTTCCCTGACAGGAGTCTGTCACATTGAATTATCTAAAGGGAAACCTGAAAACAACTACTCATCCTCTCCTGATTCCAGTCATTCCACTCTATATTTTAAAACTTCCTCTAAGAAAAAATACCCTAATCTGTATCACTATTTCACAGGGAACTTATCTGGACAGAGGGAATCATTCAGCTTTAAAATGCAGGCCAGGACAGTAACAGACATTTTAGAACCTGCCACCATCTCAGTTAAGAACATTTTGACAAGTGTGTCACTGAAGAGGTGCCTCCTAGCACCTGGAATTATTCTCAAAGTAAATGTCACATCTAAATAGTTATAATAAATGTTCACTACCATCAAAAATAGTGTATGAGAGAGATTTCCATGCATCAGGTCCACATTATAGGAATTTTTTCATGTATATTCTGTTAAAACAGAGGAAAAGTTTCCTTTACCAGAAAACACCAGAACTATAGCACCCATTTCTAATAAATGTATAGTAATTTTTTTATTATGATAGCCATCTTCTATTCAGCCTCTTTTGGGACACTGACCTCTGAATTAAATTTACTCTGGAGAACCTATCTTTCTGACATAACCAGTCATGGTAATTTGTAACACCTGAGTTTCACTCAACTATTTCTCCAAGGGAATCTGGATATGTGATTGCTTTCTAGTCAGTCATTAACTTGTATTAGATGCATAGATGTGAGGGCCAGAAGACAGCAGAACAATTCACCTGGCCTTCCTGTGTAACAAGCTATGCAGTTCCAACCAATGATTCCTATACTGAGTGTGGTAACAGGCAAGTTACCTAGAAAACATCTTACAGAATGACATCTAGCCTTGATATAAGGTCTTGATGCAACAGAAAATATACTACAGCTCTCAGCAATTTGTTTCATCGTTTAAGGATTGTCCTAATATGCTGTGCATTAGCCTTTCTATTCTAAAACTGTCTATGAACTGTCCCCAATAAAGCCAAATGCCATTTTGGCAAATTTGGATGCTTCTTATAGAAGTCATGTGGTAGGTGCTGTACAAATATACAGAAAAAACATGGACCTTATCCCAAAGACTTTATGGTCAACACAATCCCTATGGAAAAACATGGTATTAGACTACCCTTGACACCCTCTACTACTTCCCTTCCTCTGGGAATAGAAGGGCATGCCCAGTATAAATATCAGGACCAAGGAAAGGAAAGAATAGAAAAGGGAGAAATTAGAGTCTTATCTTAAATTAGACATTTCAGTTCTCTTGAACTTTTAGAACTGTAAGCTTTTTTTTTTCCTCCAGGTGTACCTCTGCATTTTGAACAGCACAGAATAAATTATCTCGACTAGACACATTATTACATCTTGAACAGCTACTAAACAGAATTAGATTATTTAAATGCTCTGCTAGAAATAAGAGGAAACTCATGTGAATCCATCCAGCCTTAGAGTTCTCATCTTAGACAAAGGCAGCTCTGGGGGTTAATCCAGCCCTTTTTTACAGACAGACTTTCTAAATCCTTTGTGTATATTTGCAAGTAAATCTTTAGTCCACTGTCAAAAAATACAAACTTCACTTAGGGTTATTCAGGGCTTACACTGTGCCTTCCTCATGGACTTAGCAAACTATTAGTGAATAAAGCTCTTTGTGACGCATTTGAACACCATTAAATTTTACAGATTGGGAAACTGTGAAGGAAATAAGTAGCAAAGTCTGGAACAGAACAAAAGTGAGCCTTCCTGACTAATCCTCTGCCTCAGACAACTCATTCTTCACTTCTAAAGCACACCTTGTCTCAAAACCTTCAGTAAAGTGATAACAGGGGGGCATCATTACCCACCTCAGCAGCCATTAAGTATAAACCACTAAGCCTCATTCAGCTAAACTGGTTCACAATCACAGAACTAAACCTTTCCTTAGATAGCTCTAAAGGCCTGCCTCCTTTAGTCTGAAGTGACTATATCAAGCATTCCAAAAGAAATCCTAAAAGTACTACAAGTGAGTTGTGAAGTACTAGGTTAAAAATTGCCCATGCAACCCAAGGGCTGAATGCCACCCAGAAAGTCAGGTGTATCCTTGGCCCTGCTGAGTAGGAGCTCCTACGTGATGTTGGGCCAATCATTTAAGAGCCAAAATTTTGGCAGTTGACCATTAATTGCATAATGCATTTTCTGAGGGGTCAAATTTTACAGCATTGTGCACACTTATGGCTCTTGATGTGGCTAAAAGAGTGGGAAATGGAAGACTTAAGTAGTCAGGAAGTAAACAGGCAGGAAGGAATGTAGTGTAGCATTCATGACTCATTTCTTCGTCTTTGGTTGCCAGTTCTTTCACTTACACCTAGGCTGCAGTCCTAGAAAAAGGACTCCATCCCCCCCACCCAGGATCCCTGAATGAAAAACACCACAACACCAGCTAGTACAGGAGACATTCTCCCCTCATGGAAAATAAGTCATGAGACAAAGAGCAAAGCTAAGACTCCAGCCAGCTGCAGTCATAAACCAGAAGGTTTACTTTACCTAAGTGATATTCAGTGCTGTTCTCTGCTGCAAAAGGCTTGGTAGCAAGCTTCATGAAAAACAGTATTTCACAGATAGCATACAGCTGACACTTCCCCCTCCTTCCCCCAGCCCTCTTCTCTAGCATCCACAATAGTTGCCAGAATATGAGAAGCTGTGTAGAGGCTAACCTGTGGCACACTGGCACTCGTAGCCATTGGGATGATCAATGCACTTTGCTCCATTTAGGCAAGGTGTGCTGGAGCAGTCATCGATGTCAATCTGGCACACGGCTCCAGTAAAACCTGAAAGTGAAAAGGAAACAAAATACTGAAGCAACTCAAGGAGGAGTTGTTGTTCCTTCTTGCTGCTCAAAGAGATCCAGGCAGGACTCTGGCTAACAGATCATTGCCAAGGATTCTTTACTAACTCTTAAGAACTGCCCCATTATTATTTGGTGAATCTAGGTTGGATTGCACCCTTAGTTCCACTCTGGTCTCTCAACTGGTTGGTTTCTGGCCCAGCAAACAACCAACCAATACGAACTTTCTGCCCTACAAGTCAAAGAGGCAGGAACAATTTTAATGATACTCATAAAAGGACTGGCCAGGGGCAACAGGAGCATAACGAGGGAAGAGCAAAGACTCTTCATGTTAGTACTCTTGGGAAAATGAGATGTCACTGGCAAAAAAGAAACAGAGGAAAATTTCTGACAGTCAAAGCAAGTAACACAGCATGAGGAAATGATGCATCTCTTACTACAGCCTTTAGTAAGAGAGTATTCCAACAACTTAGGATTTACCGCACAACACAGAACTATACTTCACAATACTTTATAACTAAGGAGCGGTATCAAGGTCAGTTATGGTAAGAGACTCAGAAATAATGGGACCCGAGTACCAAGGAAGGGCAGTGAAGATTCAAGAATGGTTTGGGACCAAGGGAAAAATTGGACAATTCCATTGGCAGGCCCAAGAACTCATCACCACACAAAGGGGCTAGAGACTGAACATGTGTCAAGATAAGCAATTTTTGAGAAGGAAAAACATTTAACTTTTGCCCCCCTCCCAGTGGCTTGCAAGACACTAGACCTGACACCTGGTGCTGGTCCCTTTGTTCAAGAGCAGCCTCTCCTTTCTAGACAGGAGTGCTGAGCCCCCTGCCTATGCTACAGGGGAGAAAAGCTTAGTCCTCAAACCTGGAGGAAAATAAAATGTAAAGCCTGAAAATGGGCCAAAACTATTCCAACCATGAAGGTGGTCCAATAAAAATCACCCAAAAAATCCTTGCCTCTCTCAAGGATTTCTCTTTTTTTTTTTTTTAAATATATCTACAAAGATTGGACTGTAATTCACCCCAATGTTCTTAACAAGTGAAACAGCAGGTGCCACCTACACCTTTGAGGCTAGGTGTTTAGTCTTAACATGTGTAATTAAGTACATAGTCCCAGTGCTGCATCACTTCAACTGAGTACAGACCTACGCGTATTCATCAGGCATTACAGTGAATCACTACTGTTTTCCTTGGATGAGTCTGAAGTTGGGTGCTGTACTGGGACTTGCTAAGTCAGTAAACCCTACACATGCTTGCACTCTGCCCTTCCTTATAGAATGTTAGGCCTTTGTAGACAGATGCACAGAACAGATGCAGGACGGGAGAACTTACCAGGTGGGCATTTGCACAAAAAGTGATTGACCTTATCCAGACACTCTCCATTGTTCACACAGGGACTACTAAGGCATTCATTGATCTCCAGTTCACAGTGCATGCCTTTAAACCCTGAAAAAGACAACAGATTACAGGGGGTGACAAAAGGGCTCCAAAAAGTACCCAGTTTGTTGGCCTCCCCTTATTCTACAGGAAACCCTCGCTATTCGCAGGTTAGCATTTGCAGTTTCAAATATTTGCGAATGCCAGACCCGCATCTTAAATACACTTATAGGAGCTCCTCGAAAGCTCCACGCTTGCCACCACCGGGCTCCCGCCACCACCAGTGCAGCCATACCCCATCCCCAGCCGCCAGGGGCACAGTGTTTGAGAACATATCCCCCATGAATGGTGAGGGTCTCTCGTACTGCTAAAAATCAATGCCACATCTCACTAATGTAGAAAATGACGGTGTCAATAAGTTATGCCACAAGACCAAGCATATTTGTAAAGGGTTAAATACGGGTATGATGGGGGAAGGGGCCTTAGAGGGGATGAATAACTTTGGAAACAATGGAAGACACTGGTCCTGGACTTCCTAGGCTAGGGTAAATTCACTCTATACTTCTGGATGCCAACTGACCAGCTGCACGGATCAGAATTCTTCATCCATATTAGTATAAGGCTGTCAACTGGCCAAAAACATCTTTTTCTTTCTTTCTTTATGTTTTTTTAAAGGAAACATCAAGCATTGGTCATGACAAGAAGGGAAAACAGTAGACTAACAACACGGGCCACTTGCATTATTTATATGGCAAATTCTATAAAGTTAAGGATTTCAAAACATGGAATATTTTTTAAACAGTGAGATCTATAAGTCTGTTGACTAGCTGCCCAAAGTACTGAAAACCCCTTTACTTGGGAATATATAAAACAAGACTTGACAATGCCCTGGGAATTTTCCCAAACAACAATATAAAAACACACAGTTGAGAACTTACTCACTCACTCAAACACGGTTTCTGCTAACTTTAAAACAAATCACTTCTGTACATCTCATTAAACAATGAATAACAAATCTATATGTTCATTAACACATTTACTGTCAGGTTCCTGCTTCTCCTCCTCTCCTACCTGTTTTTCCTCCACTCACATACCAGCAAACCTTTGAGACTGGTGTGTGCACAGCAAACTCTCCAGCCTGGTCTTTAGGCACCCCATCACACACACATCTTCCATTTCTAAACTGCTTTAATCATTTTATGCCCTCACATTTCTGATCTTTCCCATCCTTGTTAGAAATTCTTGGGAAACTCGCTTTACCTGGCATACACAGACATGTGAATCCTCCGATTTTATCCAGGCAAGTGGCATCATTTTGACATGGATTGGAATGACACTCATTAATGTCCATTTCACAGCGTGGTCCTGTGTATCCCTTCAGACACTCACAGTGGAAGGAGCCTTCAGTATTCACACATTTCCCAGCATGTTCACACGGATTACTGTTTGCTGTAAGAGACATTCATTTACTACTCTTCCGCTCATGATGGTCTCGACACCACCAATAATCCCATCCTTTCTTGTATCACCACTGCTTGAGACAAGATCTCTACTGCCTAACAGGAGATGGCTACTGCCCTTTCTGTGGCATTGGGAAAAAATGTAGCAGCCTCCAGCTTCTTATAGATAGGAAGAAAAATCTCCCAAGTACCGTCATACAGTCAGAAGAGCATTCTGATGTTCTCCCCACTTCCAAGGGTCCTGCAGGGGCACTGACAGCAGCTCTGACCAGAGATCTGAAAACGTAAGCTTATTTTGGATAGGAGGCTTTAAATCATCTCTTCAACTTGCCTGCTTGCTTCAGCACAGAGGCCAGCGCAATGACCCTTAGCCCATGTGGCCTTTGCTACCCATATCGTAGTCAGATTGACCTTGGAAATAAGTTAAGGTGAGGAAATAACAGGAGATTCAGCTTGGAAAAAGTAACCAATGCATTCAAGGAAAGATAATCGAAAGGCAAGATATGTAACACAAACAGGCACTTGAAATGCAGCAAAAGCATAAGAGAAAGAGCAGATTAGCTAAAATGTTTAAGTTACTATGGCAGAGAAACAGCAGGATTTGAGCTGCACAGACATAAAGCAGATGGTATCTTCAGATGATTCCAATGAGAATAATGACTTCTCATTACAGTTCTTTGAGTACTGGAAAAAATAAAATGAGCCAGGAGCCTGGTAAAGTAATTTGGGCAAATTCATATTGGAATCCATTAAAAAAACTCAGAAGACCCTGACACAGTCCTGTACCCAAGCCATTTGGCCAGCAAGTCCACATCATGGAGGAAGGGAAAACACTCAATATAGACAAGAAATATTAAGAAGCTTCTTAAAAAGGTACTCAAAGGGACTAAAAGTATAGTGATTTGATGCTTTTTAATAAAGGTAAAGATGATTCATCATCAATATATTTTGGGTCTTTTTAGCACACTTACTTAAAGGTCAGAATTGGCTCATAAGGGTGGGTAGGACTCTCATACAGGTTTCTCTGTTATTCTGAGCTGCATCTCTAGAATCATTATGCAAGGAAACTCACTCATCTCTACAGCAAGTGATCTTCTCTATCTGTAGCCTTTCTACGCATCAGACATTTCCCCACTAACTGACAAAATATTCAAGAACCTTGCCTGTTAAATTCTTTCATGTGTTCAGATTCTATAAATTCTTCGAAGATTACATCAGCCAGGCAAGAGTCTTTATGAAGAATGAATCTAATCAGATTCCCTGAAGACAGTACTGGGGTTTATTAGGAATTCATAAAGAATGGAAATCTTGCCATAAGTTAAAAGGTATGCCACACTACCTGAAATCTGGTACATTATTTTGGCAATCCTCCTCTAGAAGGAGATTGCAGAATTAGAGAGCATTCCAAGTAGTACTGGGATTGTCTGAGGAATGGAAAAATTCTTATTAAGAGACTGAAAATCATACAAGGAAACAGAGAAAAGGGAATATGATAAAGGCCCACAATTAATTAGTGGCACGGAAGTTTGTTGGGGTCTTCTTTGCTTGATCTCAAAACACAAAAACATAGTGCACAACAAAAGCAACAGATATTCAATGAAATGCAGAGACGGTATACACCAAATTGTTAAAAGGTTACACACTTTCCATTTACTATAGTTAGGCCAGGGAACTCGCTACTTCAAGTTATATTTGAAGCCATGAGATTAAAGGTAGTAAAAAGGGTTGGATAGCTTCATGGCTAAAATGAATAACCAAAGCTGAAGAGGACAGAAGACAACCCAGGAGTTTTGTAAACAAAGGTGAATGCTCTGAAAGTTAACTGTAACCTTCTGCTTGGAAAATATCCTGTGCTTAATTACTGCAGGGTTTCTTGGACCTTTTCCTGAAGTAACTGGTACTAGCTTGGGCCAGAAAGGACACCAGCTAGATGGCGCTTTCATAATCTGGTATTTGGGGGCTCCTATAGATGTGCAGAAAGGCTGCTCTGATGTGCTGTATGTCCAGTGCAATGGAGCAGACTCGATTAATCAAGGCTGCTGGAGCATGGAAATTTCCGTACTCCAGCAGCCCTGGCATATGCGTATCACCATCCCGAAAAATGGCAGTGGGGTACTTTAAACTAAAGTTTGTTCCCCCACCACCATTTTTCAACGGATGGAGACACTGATACACTTGATACGTGGGCACTTTTCATTAGTGCAGCTCACTAATTAAAGTGCCACACCCCATCATGGAATACGTCTATAAATGCCCTAAGTGTGTGATCCTGACTGATGGCTTTCACCCCCTGGGCCTGGCACAATCTCCATCTTAGTTTCCATTAAAGAATAGGAAGCTCTTGCCTTCTTATGGAGTTGTGGTGAGATTGTATTATCAGTGAAGCGCTTAGAAATAATTAGAGCTTTAAAATGATGGAATAACGTTCAGGACACCACCTTACCTTTGTGTCGTCACCTAACCCAAGTACTTCGATAAGCTATTCCTATCCCTTCCCCCAAGTCTGCGATGTAGAAAATCCATTGTTAGTAAATGCAAACTTTGACTAGAAACTTACCCATAGCACACTCATCTACATCTTCAGTACAGTCAGCTCCTTTGTAGCCTTGGGGACAAGTGCAGATATAGTGTCCATTCATAGGGTTGGTATCACATAGAGCTTCCTTCTGGCAGGGGTTGCTAACACATGCATCATCCAGATGACACAGGAGGCCTACAAACACAAATGGATGTCACACTAATAAGCTGACCAACAAGAAAAATAAAATCTAAATCAAACTGCACTCTACATGCTTGTGTTCTCCAAACTGATCTTTTGATGGAGGTCCAACTTTCCATGCCAGAACATGACCAGAGCTTTGGGAGATGTTGTTTTGCTAACAAGTTGCCATTAGGATTCTCACCATGCACACTACAGCATAATTTGGATATATTTATACGTGGTTACAAAGGGTTTCCAGAACTCCTAGAGTTCAGTAACAGCTTAGTTACCAAAAGCTTTAGCAGGGAGCAGCATTTCCCAGTCAGCTTCTCTTTCCTCACGCCAACTACTACGGGGCTGTCAGCTCACACACACACACACACACACACACCCACACACACACACACACACACACACGCAACTCAGTCCTCACCACAGCCAAGGGCTACTCACCCTCCACATACCAGCGTGGTTCCTGTGAAGATTTAGTACTCTTAGTTTGTAATCTATATCAGGAGGCAATTCCCTGCTGTGGCCGCAAGGGCAGCGTTACAGCTTTATGGGGGAGTAATCAACATTCCTCAGCTCCCCCACTTTAATATATATACCTCAGTTCCCCCACTTTAATCTTGGGGGGAAGGAGGGGTAGGAAGAGAGAAGCACAGTTATTGAAGAGGCCCATAGCTTACTCACCTCACTCTCTCTCTCTCAGGCTACTGGAGGTTTCAGTCCAGGTTAGTCAAGTAGCTCTCTCTTTGTCTGCACAAAAATCTTTCCACCAGTTGGGTGCACTGGCAAACAACTGGAAACACTCGGTTGTTTTTTTTTTAAGGTACATTTTAGGAAGTTCTTTCTGCTTTGTTAGCACTTGTGACAGCAGCAGCAACCCCAAACTTTGAGCCTGTTTCATCCTTACCTGCCTTTCCTTCTGGACAAATGCATGCAAATGAAGCCACACGATCAATGCAAGTAGATCCATTGGCACAGGAAGCCGTAAGACAGTCATCAATATTCTTACTGCAATCATCCCCACTCCAGCCGTTGACACAGACGCAGGCATAGCCGCCATTGTGGTTGGTGCAGGTACCTCCATTTTGACAGGCATTGGGCTGCAGCTGACATTCATCCACATCCTCAGTACAGAACTGACCTGAAAGGAAAAAGGAACAAAATTAACAGAACTGCATTCGCAAAGACACACAAAGGGAAAAATCTTGCACAGGATGGCTCTAAATGGAGGGGAACACTGAAGCTAAAGTCTAGACTCAGATTCTTTATTCTAGATCATGTGCTGTATGCAGCACGAGCCTCAGAACTTCAAAAATGTGTAATCATGTACTAAGCCACGTGGTGAAGCTCATTAACATGTGATCATAAAGAAAGAGCTGAACCATGGAGACTGAGCGATGGGGGAGTGGGGAAATCAGCATACATCCGAAGAGACAAAGTGCAAGAGGCAGAAGGATCACAAAGACACCTTTGCAGAGCTAAGAGCAGCCTAAGTAAATTAGAATCAAGCAGGAAGAAAAGGCCAGTTGAGGGTAAAAAAACAGCCAGAATGAGAAAAAAGCAAAGTCCTGCAAGAGAAAGCAGCTGAAACCATCATCAGTATCCAAAGTGCACATTGGCCAATGCCAACAGAAGTGAACGCTTTTATAAATATACAAGTTTACAGCTAAATCAGGTCTTGAGATAAGTCCCATAAAGGCTCCTGTTTCTAAAATCTCCTATGTTTTTTAATCCATAGGCATTTCTACAAGTAACAGCTAATGGTACCTTTTTAATACATATTTAAAAATGAGTAACTACTTCCTGAAAAATGTTTCAGTGATTGAAAAGATTTGGAATAAAAAGAAGTTGAGTATGTAGTTGATTCACAGCATAATCCAGATTCATGCAGCTGAAGGCAGAAAGGACCACCAGTCTGTCTAGTAGCCTGACCTTCCTCCAAGTCAAAGGCCATTACTTTTCACAATTACCCCTCCACTGAGACCTACAGCAGATATTTGACCAACAGCATACTCTTCCAGACAAGCACCTAATTCCGATCTGCAGATATCAACAGGTGAAGAATCGGCTGCTTCCTCAATAGCTTGTTCCAGAGGTTTTTACCCTGCACTGGTAAAAATGTACACATCCTTTTTCATTTTAATTCATCTGGTTTCAACTTCTAACCATGGATTTTTTTTTATAACTATCTCCATTAGATCGAAAGTTCTTTGGCATCAAGGGTTTTCCTTCTGTAAAACTATCCATACGCACTGGAATCAAGTGCCTCCTCAAAATTCAAAACGAACATTGGCAGGTCAGAAATGATCTCAGCAAACTCTTTTTTAACTCTTGGTTGCAAACTGCCTAGGAAAGCTGATTTAAAAGCATCTATCTTGAGACTGTTTAATGTACCTCCTCAGTTATTAATGGATTAGGACAGGGATGGGAAATTATTTCGGATGCAGGGCCGCTTCCCAAGTTTTGGCAAGCCATTGAAGGCCGCAAGGGTAGCCCCACCCCTTGACAGGTGCCCCACCCCTTTGGTTGCCATCTTCGAACTGGAAGTCCCACCCCCTAACCCCTACCCTTTCCCACCAGAAGTCCCTCCCCTTGCCCCCCGGAAGTACTCCTTTCAGCAAGGGGGCTTGCCATCTTGGAATTAGAAAAATACCAAATTATATTCTAAAAATCAAACGTACTACAACATTCATTAATTTCATTTAAAAAAAAAAAAACTTGTGTCCTGATTTACATGCGTTTGTGTAGGGTACGTGGGGGAAGGAATAGGTGTGGGTGTGTATGTGGGGTAGGGGAGCATGCGGGTGTGTGTGGATGTGTTGGGTATGGGGTTGGTGGGAGGATGCGAGTGTGTGGGGCAAGGATGGCAAGGATGGCTGGGGAACACTGAGGCACGCATGAGGGGGGGAGGGTCTGCCCAGAGCCTGTGCCCTCCCTTCCCCCACACTGCAGGCAGAGCCCCGACCAGTGCTCCTCCATCCTGCGCTCTTGGCCCCAGGGCATCAGTGCAGGCCCCATGCCCCTGCTCATCACCACTTTCCCCTCCATCTGCCACAGCTGCCCTTCTCACGCTGCTTTCCCATCCCCCCCCCCCCCTCCAACTCACCACTCCAGCACCATGTCCCAGCTGTACAGCCGAGAGCACGGGACACAAAAGAAAGCAGCCCAGCCTGGCCAGCACCGCACAGAGCCAGCCGAGAATCGTGGGGGCCAGGCTAGTTCCTGTTGACTCCTGCAGTTCGGTGCTACAGACAGGAACCACATGGTGCCAGAGTGGCAGCAGCTACAGGCAGGAAAGCTGGGAAATGGCTGCACCAGGCAGCAAAGGAGTGGCAGCAAGTGGGTGCGCAGAGCACAGTGACAGCTGAGCAGGAGCACAGCGCCCACACCAGGGCAAGTGCCAGCGGGGAACCAGGGTGGGCCATGGGCTGGTACAGGCTCTATGGAGCCAGGTTGGACTGCGCCAGAAGGGAGAGGGGGAAACCAGCCTGGCTCTAGAGAGACTCTGCTGGCCCAGCCCCGTGCTCCTGACGCCCTGCCGGCGCTGGCCCCAGGACACCGGCATGGGCTTTGCACTCCCACCTAGCTGCTGCTGCTGCTGCACTCTACACGCCTGCTTGCTGCCCCTTCCCCCCACCTTCCACATCCATTTCCCCACTCACCCCCGACAGCAGAGTGGCCAGCGGGCAACCACATGGTTCCCAGCTATAAATCGCCAAAACTGCAGGAGCTGGCCCAGCCCGGAAGGGCCCCGAGGACTGAAGTGATCACCTGCAGTCCTCCCCTGCCTCCCTCCTCCCCTCTATCTCAATTTATCTCCGGCACTGGGAGACAGGAACAGTCCCAGAGTCTCAGGCCAGAACCCTCTGCTAGGCACGGGCTTCTGACTCCGGGGGTGGGGGGCAGGCACCAGGCCAGGCCAGGCCAGGCTGGCCTTACTGCTGCTCAGTCCTGCTTCCATCTCCCCCTGGGTCCTACAGCTGCTGGCTTCTGTCATCTTTGACAGGGAACAGCTATACTTAAATGTTCTGCATCATCATTAATAAATGTTGTCATTTACCTCTAATATACACCATGTTTAAGGATATCTTTTTGTTCCTAATATACTTAAAATGAGAGCTCCTTGTTGTCTTTAATCCTGCCTGCCCCAGATTTTCCCCTGAACAGTGAAGGGAACAATGAATACCCTTGATAAAACAATTAATGTTTACATAAAAGGCACTGTTGTGTTTAAGTTATTGCCTCTGAATCATGAGAGAAACAGATGACCTAAAATATTAAGACTTTAGCTTCCACACGGATATGCTGAATATGGGACACCACCAAGGAATCCAGGTTATTAAATTTGTGGAGGAAAAAGCAGTATTTGGGGGGGAACATTTAAGAAAAACCTTACCTGAGTAATTATACTCAGGTTGCAAGTATTGTTATTGTCTTCTGAGTGATGATTCATGCATTGCAAGGCAAACATGCATTCTTGCACTATTCTAAGTCACTTGTCTGTTAGCTTTACAGTTGACATCATCAACTTACCAACAACTTAAGCCAACGTTCCAAAACCAGTTTTTAATAAACATGTTTGTACCACAAAAAACAATAATACAACCAACTTCCGTATTCAGTCATGGCCATAACTAAATGCCTGCAGCCATTTTGTTACTAGGAAAATTAATCTCTTCCAGCCCTAGAGGTGGCCCAGTACTACGCTGTCTTCAAGGAACATCTGTTCACAGAGAGGGAATTGTTCTGCAAAATCCTCACTTACCCTGTAATATCCTACACCATCCCTCTGAGCAGAGCCAGAGTAAATGAGAGATTCCTAAAAGCAACAGCAGTCTCAGGTCTAGAGTGGCCCCTCACAACTAAAAATGCTACGCCTTCTCCAAAAACAGCCTTCCTCCTGAATGCTAACTGATTATTACACTTCAACCAAAGATGGATTATTTCTTCCTGCATGTCCACTAGATTTTCCAGAGGTTTCCTTAGAAAATGGCACAGTCTTTAGCAATGCTTTGAAATGCTCATCTGGGGGACTGTAAAGAAAAGCCCCTTTAGTGCAGAAGATGTGCCTGTGATTTGACTCTGAATCTGTTACACACATTATACTCCCCTGTAGAATACCACTGTGACAGGGGCCATCCCAAGGCCAGTCTTTAGGTCGGCCTGCCCACCTGTCATGGGCAGTCCACCCACCTACCTCACCTGCCACACCTTAATCTAATGAAAATAAATAGATGGTTTTAGGCAAGAGGCTGCCCTCTTAATGCCCCAGTACCCATGGCGTACCACATGACTCCAACCTCCCCTTTTATCGTGTCCCGAGCCTCGCAGGTGTTATACTGTTGTTATCATCTCTATGCAACCCCTTTGCGCTAAGCCCTCCGGGCTCTTGTGTCTCTACACCACTCAGGAACGAAGTTCTCTGGTGCCCAGCTCCCTGCCTCTCTCTCCCTGGTGCCCAGCTTCCCACACTCATCGTTGGGCTCTGCCCAGATTGTGTGCCCCTTTCTCCGAGCACTAATGAGGCTTCCAAACCTCCCCTTATAGCCTCATCCCGGTCCATCAGAATAAACCGTAACACAAATACAAGCCCTGGGCTGCAGCATAACAACACTTATGGTGACTGTGTTCTGTCTCTTTACTTCCACCCTTAAAACAACACATATCTTAGCCTGGGTACCTTAGGCCCCTGGATCCTCACTGTTCTTGTAGGCAGCACCTAGTCTCAGGTAGCTCACTTGGTCAGAGTCTCCTTTACTCGGCAGTTGCCAAAGAGAGTGTTCCTGCTAGCTCCAGCCCTAGGCTTATGTGTCCCCCAGGGTCCTGCTTTCTCCTGGTCAACTGATCACCTGCAGATGCGGGCCAATTACCCTATTAGGCCATCGCCCAGTACTCTTTCCTGCCATGGCAGGGGGTTGGACTTGATGATCTACTCAGGTCCCTTCCGACCCTACCAACTATGAAACTATGAAACCTGCAGCTGTGTAGCTCTGCCTAGCCTTCTGAGCAGCCTGGCCAGGCTGCTTCTGCTCCTTAAAGCAGCAGGCACATCTTGGTGCCCTGCTACAACCATGAAATAACTGTGCATATTATAAGGCATTTTAATGGTGTTGGTCCTTGACTAAATTACACTGATATTTG